TCATTCCTACCTAAGCTGTGACTGCAAATTGTAACAAATGGAATACGCTGGATATGTAAATCCTGCATGGACTACTAATTGGTGATTCTTCTAGTTGTGTTGTGACTAGTGGATTCATTTCAATTTCTTCCTTAAAAATGCAGAATTTCATCACCTATCTTAGCTTCAATGGAAGTCTATCAGTGGGGCTAAATTATCACAAAAGGTTGACAAAACATGCATAAATTTAAGCTTCATCTAGTGTGATCCAGAATAAGGACAGTAACTTCTGTAGATTGATGATTCGAGCTGCAAAAAAAACTACTAAATCATTGGTTCCTCCAGCCATAGTGTAAAGTTTCCATTGGGCATAACTGCATAACAATCATATTTGGAAACAACATAATATAAACAAGATTGCAGAGGATATCAGAACATTTCTACCTGGCTCAAGGATGAAACCTGACTACAAGTTGACTAAACCTCACATGGCATGCCCTACTACACATCATGAGGGACCTTGCACCCCGAGCACGAGCTAATATCAAGGCATGGGCAATTGCTCCCATTGGTTCCTCCAGCCATAGTGTAAAGTTTCCATTGGGCATAACTGCATAACAATCATATTTGGAAACAACATAATATAAACAAGATTGCAGAGGATATCAGAACATTTCTACCTGGCTCAAGGATGAAACCTGACTACAAGTTGACTAAACCTCACATGGCATGCCCTACTACACATCATGAGGGACCTTGCACCCCGAGCACGAGCTAATATCAAGGCATGGGCAATTGCTCCCATTCTCCACCAATAGTTTCATCCGGGAACTGCATGCCCTGTTTGGATCACGGTGCCCTGAGATGCCTCATAGGCTACGGGCCGCTCGTGGAGAAGTGTTCGTTTGCTAGATGACACAACCAAGCACAATTATCACAAAATTTGACGCTAGATTAGGGTTCCACAAAAGGGAGTAAACAAGCCCTAACAATGTTCAGGGGACACAAAATATGATTGATTGATGCTTCCAACATGTCATACATTTGTTCACAGGAATCTACTTTCTTATTTCTGAATATACAGTGCCTAGCATCTTTTAGCATACTGCAAAAATTGCAAGGATACTAGACAGGCTTGCTAAATTCCCCAAAACTGCATACTGAGTCAGGGCATAAACCAGATTGGTGGGGAGCCCTCTGAAGTAAATTTTCGCGGAAAGCGACGCACACTACGCGCCCCATTTAGTGTTTTGCGACCATAAACACCCATGTCAGTACTGGAATACTTACTCCCACTGCTTAACGCCAAGGATATGTCGAAGCTAGTATCGTCCAAGTAATAGATGCTACCCAGTTGGAGCCTATTGAACTGAGAGACCTCAACAGCCCTAGAGCAGCCTCGACCAAGCAAGAGCACCCGGCCAGGAAGTGAGTGGAGCTCCACCCAAGAAGCTTCAGAGCCCCCAGCGGGAGCAACCGCAAGGTTCATCTCAAAGATTCTGAACCCATTCTTGCCACGCCTGGCAAGCCGCAGGACCATTAGCAATTTCCCGCGGGACTCCACCAGATAGCGGGACACTGTGCGCGACTTGCGCCTGAGATTATCAGGCCTGTAATCAGCGCGCTTCTGGATCTGGTAGGAGGAACGGGACATCACCAGAGAGGCACCCTCGACGCTGTTGGGCGTGTACACAACTATGTCCTCAGTATTTGACAGGACATGGAAACCTTGCTTCAGCCCATTCTCGTAATAGATGATGTCCTGGATCACATCCAGAGCCACCGCGACACCGCAAGTGATCCAGTGCTCTTTCATTCCCGGCCGCCAGAACGCGATGTTGGAGGCGCTGGAGACATGCGCGGCGGCAAGGCAGTCCTCTGCTGAGGGTGACCCCGAGAAAGTGATGGTGCGGATGACCATGTGGTGCTCGCAGGAGGTGTTCGCCTGGGGAGCGAGCGGGTGGGCAGTCCTGAGCCTGTCGGGGAGAAGAACCGTCGCGCCGGAGAGAAGGTTGACGGCCGCATACCCTCGCCACTGCTCGAAGGCTAGAGCGACCCAACCGCCATCATAGGAGCCACACAAGCGCGCGCCGCGTATGCTCTCCGGGAGGCGTAGGCGGCGTTTGGCCCCCGAGTGGAGGCTGAAGAAGGAGGGCTTGTCGGGGGACGGGAGGAGGAGCCACGGGAGCTGGCGCGGCGCCGGCGGGGCGCCAACAGCCCGCGCGACAGAGCGCCACGCGCGGCAGACGGCAGCGAAGCAGACACGGTCGGCGAGGCAGGCCAGGTCGAGGAAGATGACGCCAAGAAGCTCGGGCGGGACGCCGTCCGACCATTCACGGCGAGGCCTGCGAGCACGGGGCATGGTGGGGGATTTGGGGGCAGCCGCGAAGCGTCTCTCTGACCCGGGGTTAACGCTGCAACACGCCGGAAAAACAAATCTGGAGTCAGACTCTTGTTCAAGCACCGGGCGCTAGGTAGGGTTGACCCCTATGACCAGGCTAGATGCGCCCCTACCCGTGCGGCGTGGAAGACGAGCGACCGGTGAGTCGTGGATGACGAGCACCAGGCGCCGTATGCCGGGGAGGAGAGGGAGGAGCACGGCCGGAGCTGCAAGATCCAGGCGCGAGGTTGCCGGATCTGCGGGCTCCGGGTCTCGGGAGGCCGGATGAGGACGAGAAGGATATGGCGGCGGCGATGGCGGCGGCGCCGTACGCGCCCCTGCTCCTGGGTTTTTCTCGAAGAAGTTAGGTGAGATGGGGGAGAAAGAGAACTGACTAGTGGGTCGCTCGGTCGGTGCTAAGAGCATCTCCGATAGCATACACACATTTTAGCTACACAAAATCCCTAGCGCTTTTTCCCTCAAACAAAATCCCTAAAACTTTTTTTCTTCTCCAATTCGCACAGCCACAACACTCACCCAATTACAACGTCACGGGAATTTATCCGGTACACCCGCACCTGTGGTGCTATCGATGCACCGGATACCATGAAATGTTTTGAAAAATTTGAAAAAAAATTCTAACACGTTAACGTAACATCAACGTATGATGTCATAAAAATTCATGCAGAAATTTGAAATATTTTTTGAGCAACAAAAATGACAAATTTGATATCAGTGTGATAATGGACCAACTCTAAAACCCAAGTCATGTTATGTACTATTTAATGTTGAATTTGTCTTTTTTTCGAGTTATATTTTGAATTTGAACTTGAATTTTTGTGACAGCCTACATTGATGTTGTATGAGTGTGCTAATTTTTTTCGAAATTTTTTGAATGTTTTAAAAATATAATGTGAGTTCGGTGCACCGGTAGCACCACAAACTCCAGTGCATCAGATATTTTCACACGTCACGGACTACTCACTCATGGTCCACCCAACCATAGCCTCAAAACAGCGATGAAGACCATCCTTGAACAACCCTGCATGCGGTCAAGCTCTTCTTTCATTTATTGTGTGCAAAGCCAGTCCGGAGATTTCGAGGGCCCGAGGCGAAACTAGAACTCGAGGCCCCTTACTATAAACCTCTTTTGGAATATTTGTAGGCCTCATATCAGTTTACACAAATATGTAGATATCTTAAAGATGCATATGTTTCTCATAGTATGACAAAAATAATCAAATAAGGCAATGTATCATGTGCCTCCTTAATCCTTATACATGTTCTTCTTCATAAGTTCTTTTGCTTTTTGATGAAGCATTAGCACCATCTCGTATCTATAATACATAAATAGTTGATCCCCACTAAGTCTAATTTTCTCAACATGCGGCCCGCTACATCACCAAATGTGCCACATCATTATCCATTAAAACTATTTTGTAGCACATGCATACCCCAATTTAATTGTTCCATCTCCAATAGTCCAACGTACATGCATACTCTTTGTTCACATGTAATTACTTTCAAAAATAATAGCTTTCGATTTAGATCATTTTATTCATATAGAACGTATTCAAAATTAATCTTTAAAATCCCGCAACAACGCGCGGGGAAAATCATCTACTTCCTCCATTCCACAATGTAGTGCTTTCTCTATCCACGTGCTTCAACTTTGACCGTAAATTTAACTACCAAGACCGATTGCGGCGGGAGCAAAAATTATATCAGTGAATTTGTATTCGAAAGAAGTTTTTAATTATATAATTTTTTCTTCCGTCGCAGTTGGTCTCGTTGGTTAAATTTATGGTCAAAGTTGGACCTCGAGAAGCGCGGGCGCACTATATTTTGAAATGGAGGGAGTAGTACATAATGAGAACCGTGAGTCCAATTTTATTAACTCTATGAGAAAATCATTGAATAGAAAATTCTATATTATACTACTTGTTATCATATGCAGATTGATAAACATCATGTCCACTTTTACCTCAAGATCCAAGATGATTTTTCTATGGAGAAGAACCATACGAATGGCTTTGAGATAATGCTTTCGCAGCATCACTACAAAACAAAAAAATGATTATCCAGTTAAAACAAATGAGTTCAAGAATTCGGCACAACTTAGTGGTTAATCCCCCTTCAGTAGGCATCATCCCATACTCCTAATTTTCGTAATCAAGCAACAACACCATGGCTCCTATTTTTCGGATGCAAAGTGTAGATCCTGTTCATCATGACTATAGTTTTTTCCTCTGGTGACAAGGAAGAGTATTAATCTCAAAATCCATACAGCCTTAGAGGATTCGATCAATAACCAAAACAATCCTTACTAGAACCCGAAGACAAGCATACTGGCGTGCTCCTCCTCCGTCGCTGCCTGCGGAACTGGCGGTTGCGTCGATTGGGGAATAAGATGTGGGCGTTCTATGATGGGAGGGCTTCGGGAAGAATCGCCAGGCCGCCCGTGTACCTGGCCAGGCCCAGTATCTCCCTGTTGTGTTACGTATGTACTACTCATGTATGGTTTCGACGGCTACCTGATGCGTTGTCTGCCTCTTCGACCATGACCTATCCCAAACCTGGGGTACCTCGGAGGGGGCCCTCGATTATGGGGGCACGGGGCGGCTGCCCCCTGCCCCTCCCCAGGGCCGACCCTGACTATGTGCATAGCCAGCTCCACTAGGGAAGGTATAGCACCGCCGAACACGATCGCGTTCCTATGTTTCCACAGCTCCCACATGACAAGTGTGAAGATAGTCCGAAGGTCCTTGGACCCAATGCCAGTGGTGGCATTGCTGACACATCGAACCACGAGCTTATCATTCGCCATTGGAGCCCATTCTTGTTTGCCTAAAGCCATGCAGAACTACGTCCAGAGGGTCTTTGCAAATACACATGTCAGTAGATCATGCTAGATAGTCTCGTCGCCTTGGGCACAGAAGGGGCGAGTATCCTGGTGCGGCATTCCACGTCTTGCTAAACGATCGGACATCCAACACCTATTCTTGAGAGCTAGCCATAGGAAGAAGCATTGCAGTGAAGCCCTAGATTTCCACGCAAAGTTTGTCGTTGGTATTACCTCTCTTCCTATGAATTTCGATGCATATGGGAATGAACAGAAAATTGTCGATCCCCCTCCCATGACCAGGCAATATCATCCTTCAAACTGTTGTCCAAACGAGTATCTGCTGATACGTCTCCAACATATCTATAATTTATGAAGCATTCATGCCATATTTACAACAATTTTATATGGTTTTGGTATGATTTGCATGGAACAATCCGGACTGACGTTTTTTAGCAGAACTACCGTGGTGTTGTTTTTTGTGCAGAAATGAAAGTTCTCCAAATGAGCTGAAACTTTTTTATGATTTTTTTGGAACAAAAGAGGCACTAGAAGCTTCATGGGGGGGGCAGAATGTGAAGGAGGTGAGCACAACCCACCATGACGCACTTGGAGCCCTACCCGTGTGCTGGTGGGTTGTGGTCACCTCGAGGCCCATCTTCGCATGAAACTGACGCCAAAAAATCCTATAAATACATAAACCCCCAGAAATAACCCTAGATCAGATGTTCCGCCGCCGCAAGCCTCTGTAGCCACAAAAAACCAATCTAGACCCTATTCTGGCACAAATCATCACCGGTGGCCATCTTCATCATCCCGGCGGCCACCATGATGAGGAGGGGGTAGTCCACCCTCGGGGCTGAGGGTTTGTAGCAGTAGCTATGTGTTTAATCTCTCTCTCTCTTGTGTTATTGAGTTGGCACGATCTTGATGTATCGCGAGCTTTGTTAATATAGTTGGATCATATGGTTTTTCTCCCTCTTTATCTTGTTGTGATGAATTGAGTTTTCCCTTTGAGATTTCGTTTTATCGGATTAAATAATTTTATCGATTTGAGAGCAGTTGATGTGTGTCTTGCTATGATTACTCATGGTGACAATTGGGTATCATATTGATTCACTTGATATATGTTTTGGTACTCAACTAGCGGATTCCTGAGGTGACATTGGGGTAATTTATGCATAGGGGTTGATGCACGTTCTCATCTTTGTTTCTCCGGTAGAAATCTCGGGGCACTCTTTGAGATTCTTTGTTTTGGATTGAGTATTATGAATCTGGAATTGTTTGATGCATATCGTATAATCAACTCATGGATACTCGCGGTGACATTGGAGTATCTAGGTGACATTAGAGTTGGTTGATGTATATCATATGGTATTATTTTAGTACAAACTCTTGGATAGATCGATCGGAAAGAATATAGCTTGGTGTTATTCTAGTACAAACTCTAGGATAGATTGATCGGAAAGAATAGCTTTGAGGTGGTTTCGTACCCTACAAACAATTTCTTCTTATGTTCTTTGCTAGATAGGAACTTTGGAGTGATTCTTCATCGCACATTGAGGGATGGTTATATGATCCAATTATATTAGCATTGTTGAGAGATTGCACTAGTGAAAGTACGGACCCTAGGCCTCATTTTCAAGCATTGCAATACCGTTTGTGCTCACTTTTGTTACTTGCTACCTTGCTATTTTTTATTGTTACCATTACAAAAATCAATATCTAATGTCATTACTACGCTTGTATCACCATCTCTTCACCGAAATAGTGCACCTATACAAATTACCATTGTATTTGGTATTTGTTGTCTTCTTTCTTCATGAGAGGTTCATTTGAAGTTGATAACGGTCAATCCACTAGTTTCTGGGAAGATACCTGGCTAGGGGACAATCCGCTTGCGGTTCAGTACTCATCTTTGTATAATATTGTGCGTAAGAAAGATGATACAGTTCAATCAGTCCTTGGTTTAACACCTCTGAACATCCAATTCAGGAGGGCCTTGATTGGCGATAAATGGATGGCGTGGCTCCATTTAGTTCGTAGGTTGATGTTGGTCAACCTATCTCATGCGTCTGGCGTCTTTAGATGGAGACTAAATACCAATGGGGTGTTCACTGTCAAGTGTATGTATGAAGAT